CCCAACCACTGCCGATCCCCCCAGCAGTAGTAGATTTAGCTTAGCGCGCCTGAGGTAGTTAATCCCTCCGTCCACGTACATTATGTGTGTTTGTTTATTTTTCTTTCACACCGAGCCGCCCCACTGCGCCCCCGAGACACGTCTCCGCGGAATTCGGTCGTGATATAGAGCGGAGATCATAACTGTTACGATGGGGAGAGATAACATATCTATAATGACGGCGGAGTGGCTCTGTTTAAGGGTTTTAGATCTCCCTAGTTGAAAGGTGTAATATAACAAGACACCTCACGCAGCCCCTGATGGCTACAGTCACCATAATTATTATTGGATTATATCCTTAAAGATTTAAAATGTATTAGAAAAATGCGATGGATTACCTAGGACATAGTCGTACGAGAGGTATCCTCCAAACCAAGTACTAACTTTTCATTAAAAAAAAATACAGGTACTATAATGATACAAGTATAACCAAGATAAAAGTCAAACAAAAAGATTACCGAAAACAAACAAACAAACTATCAAACCAAAACCAAAACAAACAAACAAACAAACAAACAAACAAACAGAAACCAACCTAAGAAGAAGATAGCAGCTGTATTTTCCCCGTTACCATTGCTGATTCATTTGCAGATACATCAGCTGATTATGTTTAAATGTTGTTTTAACCCTTTTCTCATTTGGCTGTCGATTCGATTTTTATTCTGTTAGCCACTTTTTCTGTTATCGGTTGTCCCACAAGTAGTACAACTGGTTAAGAGCTTAGTAAACACACGGAGGTTTGAAAGTGATTGTGACAATATCAATGGCAGTCTGTATTTATTTTACAATGAAAACGGCGTCTTGGTCTTTTACAATGGCAATGGCGTTACAAAATACATGTGCACTCATGCATACACACAGCAAGAAAGGACATAAATAAATGTGTTACACGCTGAAAGGCCTCTCCAGCATAAAAATTCTCTCTCTACAATAATATAATTCTCTGTCTCTGTCGCCGTGTCTGTCTGTCGATCAGTCTGTCTGTCTGTCTGTCTGTCTGTCTGTCTGTCTGTCTGTCTGTCTGTCTGTCTCTCT